AGACCGACTATCTCCATGGATGAAAAATGTGGCATGTTATAATTATGAAATAAGGCCAATTCTATTAGCCATTTTTAAGCTTGCCAAAGCTTAGATATGAAATAAAAATCTATTTCTATCTATCGAAAAATACAAATTCTATGAAAATTTTAGTATCACAGATTGAAGTTAAAGTATCAGAAAGTCCAAGCAATGCTTCAATTAAAAAACTGTTTCAATTCATGAGGCATATTTTATTTGGAAGACTTCCACTTCGTACGAGTATGTGTTGAAGAGATTCGCAAGTCGATCTCTCTAGAGGACGATGGCTGATTCTGGTTGCACCGCAGCCGTTTGGCTTTACTGCGACGTTTACGTTCACTCAGTCAACGAGACATCTTTTCTAGTCTCGAGTAAGAACCACTTATGTTCAATTCAAAGATAAAAGAGATAGGGTCTTGAGCCGCCGCCCAAAAAAGCGACTCTATCTGTCAGCCCGATGATGGTTCTAACCTCCCTCATACTCATCCAGCATGTAGCATAAGCTCAGCAAGCAAATTAAGGGTATGAGATTAAGCGATACCAGTCAAGACTTTCCTCGGATCATTAAACCTCAATGACCTTTGAATGACGAGTCATTACGGGCCTTGTTCATAACTTGACGCGAACAAGATAACATTTCATTATCTTAACAATAGTTGCTTACCATGTCTGGGAGTCAGGTTTTTTTTCTTGGGTCATTAGGTCTTGACGATCCGAGCCTGACATTAGGCTTTTTTAATAACTCTGATTTAGGACAGGTATTGCGTAGACGTCAAGGCACATGCACATACATATTCAAGTAAATGAATAATTACAAAATATGAAAAGTAATTAGCAAAATCATTCTATAACTATCTATCTACATGCATACTTGTTTCTTAGTTATAAGTATATATGAAACCTAAGATAGAGCCGGGCATTCTTGTTGACCTAGTGTTAACTTGAGACTTTTACGAGAATGAATTCAGTTCTGATGATGCTCATAAAATGATGGACGAAATCTTACCCCAGTTTCATCCGAAACGACCAAGTGTGGCTCGTGGATTGAGTCAACATGAACGTCGTATTAAAGCCAGACGACAGCAAACAACGGAAATCGATCGTCTTCAGGTAAAATCAACCAACAGATCTCTTAATGACGAACTTCAATACGAAATGAAAGTCTCCCCTACAATGATATCTTAAAAGAATCATCGAAACCCAGTTAGTCTTAGTGCTGTTGAGAAACGCCCAATGGAGAACTATAATAAAACTGTATTAAATCAGATAAAGATTTTTATAAAAGACACCTAAGGACACACCTTTGCTCGCATTGTCATCAATTGTTCCTCATGCTCGAGACACTCAGACTCCAAATTGTTCTCCAACGCAAGCTCTTCGGGTAGCAAATTCGTCGCATCGAACTCAGGAGTCACGCGATCAGGGACCTCCGAACCAACCAGACCTGTAGTAGGGGGTGACAGCGCAGCCTTTTGAGGTAATGAAATCATGTCAATCACAGAGTTCGCATTAGTGGATATGGAAGTAGAAGTGGAAGTGTAGGAGCAGGAGGCGGAGGTAGAGGAAGAGACCGACTGACGCCAAGTGGGTAGATGATGGTCGAGGAATGGTAAACAAACAGGGCAGTTGGTGTGAATTAACTCTGCGACAAGCTGGGGTGGTAAACAAGTATGGAGTACTCGCTTGGTCAGCTGCATATCGCTATTACCGACCGTAACCTTCATTGTAGAAGGCTTGCGTCGAAGCACCCTTGCTAATTCTATCTCCGTCTGGTCGAGGCGCCGGCTGAGACTAGAAGTGATGTCTTTATAGTCACGAATGATGCCTAAGTGCTGTGTCTGCTCAGCCGCCTTTTGTTCCAGTGTGGAGCGCAACATATCCTTCACCTTGAGGAATAATATAGAAAGAAATAACATCCTAAATAGGCAAATAATAAGGGTACAAATAAAAGTGTATTTTATTAATCGAAGATATGAAGACCAAGATGATGTGGCCTTTTATGTCGCAGTCTAATTTCGATGTATAGAAGTGGGTTGACCTCGTTTTCGCAACTAGTCCAAGGTCCGATGCCTGGAATCATGATAATTATTATAGCAGAAGACTTCGGACAAGGTGTGTCCAATTAAGTAACCCTGACAACACGGCTAAGTCGCAAAGACGAGGCCAACCCATTTCAATGAGGATAATGATCAGAAATACAAAATACATCAAGGAGACGTCGCCAATGAGTCTAATGTCGATGGCGCTAACATGAACAATCAGAGGACCACCAGGATCTCATACAAATCCAGGGCTGAAAGAGACCGTCGTCAAGGCTATAATTGGCGAAAAGTGATCGTCATAGATGAGAGTAATGTAAACGCCCAACCTCATAAATAAGAACAGCCAAATTACTCTGATTATATTGGCACAAGAAGACACTCCGAAACCCCAAAGCAGGAAAAAAATTCACTGAGACTTTTTATTTTTAAGATGATTAATTGTTGAAATACAAAACTAGCAGATATCTGGAAATTCAATCGATGTGATAAAGCTCAGGTATTATAAAATAATAAAGCAGAATTAGTTTTTAAGCAATACAAAGAGATATGATAGCCTTCCGAGAGCCTCAGATTAGTTAGTCAATTTCTCTGAATAGACACTAAATATCACTATACATAAAGCCATCAGGAAACAACATAGGAAGAGAGTAAGAGAGACTTATACAATGAAATAAAACTCAAAATCGGATGTAATAAAGGAATTTATCATTTGTGTACGCCAAAGGAGCGTTAGAAAAAGTATCCGTATTTAGTAAAAGCTACTACCTAATAATAAGGAAGGCACGTTTGTGCTCGCAAGTGCCTTAGCTCATCCGAATTCCCACATTAATTTCGTAATAACACTACGCGAATTCTTCATATTTGAGGCATAGTACAGATGAATGTGAAATTTTGAATAATGTTTGAGTGAGCGACAGCATAGTTGCTATTCTCGCCTTGATGGAGAAGTTTTAAATCGAAATGAAACAAGTTGTGCTGTCGGATATGTGTTAGAGAGCCCATGTATTCTACTGCTTACTAGTTTCATAAATGTCCAATTGAATTGACATTTTAAGCTGTGAAAATTTGTTCTTAAGAAGTACTTTATAAAAGAATTTTCAGAATAGTCATTTAAGAGCAGTTTTTCTTCTATAAAAATAATTTTTTTGATAATAAAAAAAAAAAGAAATATGGTTGCGCCTCTGAAATCGCAAGGGAAATAGTAGACACGGAATTACTAATAGTAAAAGGTTTATCAATGAAATCAGTAGATCTCTATTGAATTTCACTTAGGTTTGCCAGCCAAAAAGTTTTCTAATCCGGAATGAACCGGACTATACCTGGGTCTTATCTGACCCTAACTGGTTTCGAAACCAGGCCATGTTCGTAAAGTAGTGGCATGTTACTATTTCGCCACATCCAGTGGTTTAAGAATTACTAATAGTTTCGATTAATATTCACTTATAATTTAGTAAGATGCACTACCAAGGACCAAATTATACAAAGAGAGGATAAAACTCAGTACGAATGTATCATTTAAGGATTTTGCGCTGGATAATGTCAAGCTCGTAACGAAAATATTTATGCACATACAGAAGTCTAATTGCAATAGTTAACCGACTCCCGATGAAACAGATCTAAGAATCTATAAATTAGTCTAAAATATTTTAATAACTTTGATCATAGGCAAGTTCATCAGAAGATTGAGGATGAAAAGGACACGAAGATACACAAGTCCAAAAGCGATGATAGTCATCGTCCCCAGAGGCCAAGCCGACTCGTATGTGATAATGACTTCCGTTTTAACCAGCTTCAACGGCTGAATGTATTGGTTAAACTTCAACTATCCTTTAAATAGAATTTAGTCAAAATAACTATTTAAAAAAGGTGTAGCGTAATACCAGTCATCTTGATTACTAAACGGTGAGGCAAATTTTTACACAATAGCATTTATATTTTGCGGTCAGTATGATTATATTTTATACCCTTCCACAAACGTCATTACTTTTAATAGCGTTAATAATTTTAATTACAACATTTTGTACTGAAGAATAGATGAGAGGAAACAGAAATATTATCCAAACTTATACCAAGAGTGACTCAAAACATGTAGGAAAATTCTGAAACTTATTTAATGTTTGAGACAATAACATAAATAGCTTTTATCAGAAGATACTAACAGGTTGTAATGCTTAAATTTAGCATAGTTACCTTCTTGACTTCATCTTCAAGAAAACGCTTCTCCTCGTTGAGATCTTCCATATCACGTCTAGTAGCAGAGAGTTCACGAGTCAGCTGTTCTGTCTGATCTTCAAGCTACAACGAATTAAATAGTGTTAATATACATAACAATATTCGCGTATAAACAAGTAAACCTCGGACATTAATTGTCTGTAAGGTTAGTCTGATGTTACTTTCGCAACAAGTAGACTTCTAGGAAAGTGTCCTCCACTGAATGCTATGTAAGTATTGTCCTATTCTTTTAGAAAGGTTACGCTGACAGGGTATATTTCCTTTTTGGCATCGTCAATTATACCAAACTCAACATCGAGCTATAGCTCTCTAAAGTAACAAATCAATCCCCCTAACCCATGCTATGTTAATCGATTGTGATGTTACTCAACTCTATACCCTAATAGATTTCCTATCTCATAGATTTATCACACACTATCTCAGTTATCCCTCCTACTAAATTTGATTAAGTCTTTCCTATACGCGAATTTCTATCCTAGTTTTTTCCAGTATAACAGAAGTGCGCATCCCTGTGAAAGAGCTTCATCGCCTTTTCTTCATCCCTAATGTCGAGCTTCTCTTACCCAACCTGTAACTTTAACTCTGCATCCTACTCCTGCCGAAACCATAAAGCTCGCTCCTCCTAAATTCGACAATCCATTTCTTATCTGTATGGCTTAGTGAAGTCATTCGGTCACAGCAATCGTCCATAGTCATAAATCCACGGCTTGACAGTAAGATTTACTAACCAATATACACATGTCTGAGAAAGTGGAGGCGTGTGGTGTAGTTAGATTGAAATAAAAATGAGCGACAATTCGATATAGTTAGTAAATGATGAAGTAGAAATCCGCATTAATGATTCTAAAATAAGGACAGAAAAAGTAAAGCACACTAAACAAGCCAAACCTAGAGATACCAAATAAATTGGATAGGGATCTGGCGAAAGGGAGTGATTACCGAAATATAGTGATTCTGAGCGTAAAGAGACTTAAAAGGACAGCAAGCCTGAGAATCACATTTTGGCGAGAAATTTTCGGTGAGGCTATCGTACACGTGCCATCCAATATTCTGGGCAGAGTATGTGAATTAGTCCTCGAGTATGACGGGCAGAGTGGATGTGATAAAATAAAAACAATAAATTAGATAGACAAGAAACGGATTGTTGAATGTAGTCAAACCATTAAATAGCTACAACATTTGGGGATTGGCGCGCAAGGGACTGGGAAATTGGATTGATATATTTGGCATATTGGGTAGAAGAGCGAAAACAATTTGACTAAAACTCACCCCGAGAGATTAGAGAAGCTCAATTATTAGGTTAATCATTCATCCAGCTTAATGATCCAGACCTTATGTGCCTGTTTGGTGAGACTGCAGTATAGGCGTTATCAAATGCGAATCGACTAGCAAAGATAGTGATCTAATGAACCTACTGAATTGGGGAGATAAGAGATGGATCTTACAGAGTAAAAGGGAGACTCTGATAGGACTTGTATGGAGTATAATGCAGAATGAAAATGCCAAGTTGGATCGACCTTTCCAACACAATGGAAGAGATGAGTAAACAAACAAGGAATGTGAAGGGCACATCTATGTAGTAGGTAAAAAGAGGTAAATTAGAAAGTGTTATAGTGGAGGAGGCGATATGAATATATGGTATAAGTGATTGCAGCAGAACAGAAGTAGAGAAATCATAACAGTCTAGCGGAAGAAGGCCAAAAAGGCTACACCATCTTGATCTTCATATCTATGCTTAACAAAAAGTTGGTGGAAGGATGGGCTTGAATTGTCTCTCTGATGAGTTGTAATTTGATGCCAAAAACGGCCGACACGATGCTGAGAAGCTTTTGGGAAGGTACCAAGTCCACGGTCAGACGCTGGAAATTATCATGGTCACTATGATGGAGGACTCGGGACAAGTGGCATCCAACTAGGTCTCATTGACAACACGAATAAATTTCGAGCGACCTTTATAAAAAGACAGGAGACCGCGACCAAAATAGAGATGACACCCATTTGGTTTTCATACTGTCGTAGGAGGAACATTCTTAGTGAATTCGAACGGGGTGGAATGAGGAGTTAAGCTACCATGTTAAATCAAAAAGCCCATGGGAGGCGATAATGGACATATCATGAAGGTAGTCACGTCTATATAAATCCACTTAAAGGGATGCAGATCTCGAGAATATTACAAAAAACGGGGATAAAATTTGCAAATATGAGATTTAGTCATATGCAATGGGGGTGGAGCGCAATAAGTTAGAAAATGTATCAAGACAGACGCGAGGGGAAATATCGTAACAGTACAACATAGTAGATTGAATTGTCACTTTGGTCAGTTATAGCGTGATGTTAAAGTTGGCGCAATTGATGAAGAAGATGCTATATACTGGCTACAAAGCTTTTTATCGAGGGCCACTTTACTTAAAATAGAAGCATTTATATGAAATAGAATGTTTGAGCGGAATGTTGCGATGACAACTTTTTTGATGATCGAAGGAATTCTGCAGCAGAAAATATTGCCAGCAAAATCAAGCAGGGATATTGATTTATTAGAAGAAAAATAGAAATATTCCGCACACTTTAGGTTTAGTAAAATGGCATGAAAACTGTAAGGAAAGTCAAAATATTATAAAATCCGTATAAAATAGGAGAGATATAGAAATATTTTAAAGTAAATGTCTTCGCCAAGTATGTATTAACTAAAATCAGTCCTACTGATACGACAAGATGTATAAGACCGTAGTATTTTTGGAAAGGATATGGATAGAAGATATCGAGGGACACAGAGCTAGAGATAAAGTATGGCAGACAAGACGAGTCGCAAAAATGAAATAAAATCTAGTATATGGAAAGTTAATAATTACTTAAATGTAGAGAAATGATGAATTTAATAGAAGATGAAATGAGATAAAACTAGAGACTTAAGTATCACATGTGTAATTGTTAAGCTTATTTCCATTTCGAGTGAAGGTGTTGGGTGAAAAGATTCGAAGGTCTTTACCACCAGAAGGCGACGGCGGATTTCTCTGGACCCGCTGTCGATTGGCTTTACTGCAAGATTCATGCTGACGCTCTTTCCAAAGTAAGCCCCTTCGATTCCATTGAAAAGGTGTTAAGCTTTCTTTCGTCATATGACGAACATCATCAGAGCAGGGTATCATCGTCACAACAAAATTCAAGCTAACGAGTCAAGAAAACTTACCGGCAAATCCCTAAAAAATGGTATATATACTCTACATCTGGCCTCTTTGATCAAGTATAAAGTGATTTGGTTAGTTACATTCATATGTCAACCTGGAAATCTGTGAGTGTGTTTGTGTTCACTTATGCACAAAACCCACAGTGATGGCTCAAAGTAATTTTCCGAGCACACGGCTCACAGGACAACGGATAGATTGGTCTAATGCCAAACGCTTGACTGGATATGGAGACTATACCAATCAGTAAAGGAAATATTAGAGACCCGTTAGCTTGAATTTTGCTGTGACGTTGATACCTTGCTCTGATGATGTTCGTCATATGACGGACGAAAGCTTAGCAGCTTTTCACCAGAATCGAAGGAGATTACCTCGAAAACAGCCTCAGCATGAATCTTCCAGTAAAGCCAATCGACAGCTGGTGAGAAGGAATCCGCCGTCATCTTCTGGTGGAACCGAACTTCGAATCTCTTCACCCAACATTTTCACTCGAAATTAAAGTAAGCTCAACAATAATGAAACAAGAGATTCCTCGAAACCCAACTTTTCTTCGCACATGTGTAATACCCAATTATGGAAACTCATACAAAGAGCAAAGACCTAAGGACACACTTTAAGGTCAGTAAGACTTACAGGCTAAAACGAATGGATGGTTGAAAAGTGCAAAAATTGTAACAAAGAATTAATGCCCTCGTAGAATCTACAACACAAGAGATGCAGTGGCAGAAGACTGAGCTCTTGTATAAAAGCAGCAAAAATACATTAGAATAGTCTGGGGTTACTGGGTGGGTAATTATCATTTTGTAAAGTAAATCGAAATCGTCCTTCGAAGAGTAGCTATCTTTATGAAAATAGATAAATGCTCAGAAAAGTCATAATTTAATACCATAATGTATGGATGCAAAAATAACTTAATAATCAAGTACTAGAATGCAAAATCTGAATGTGGACATAAAATCCGATAAAACTAGTAGACTTCCGAAGAAGAACATTCAGTAAATTTGCTTTCAGCTGTTTAACATATAAGTTTATTTTCGAGTCTGCTCGGAGCCCACTCAAACGGTACAAAAAGGGACGCGATAAGGTTCATATCACCATCCATATAGAGAAAGAAAGAGTACGCAAAACAAACCTAATATAATTTCAATCTATATCGCATTTCAATCGTATAACACCATGTTCGAGCTGCTCCAGAATTTTACGTCCACGAGAATTTACGCGCCACCATTCACCAAGTTGTTGTCGATAAATATTCTAACCCGGTTAATTTCATAAATGCAGTCCAAAATTGGAAAGAGTACCAAAGAATTCATACGAGTAATCGGCTACCCTCTGGTTCTGTCTGTGACCTTAAATACTTATTCCGGTCTTACAATCAGAGTATGGGTAAGCTTGAGTCCATTAGCAGATTATTTAATTAGTGGCAGCCGGTAGAAAAAAGCAAACATTTTGAGTCAATGTCAAGTTGATTGAAAACCTTTCATAAGGATGGAATAGGATAAGAAGAGCATAGCTCAGGCAAATCCAAATGAAATTCCTACAAATAAGCATGGATGAAAAGATGGTCTTTTATTTTTTAAAAATTAATTTCTATACCGCATATTAGATGTGTTGGGAACAAGTATACGTGATTCGCTCTGAAAGATAGAAATATCGCTGTATATGTATTGGAACATGCAGATAAAATAGTGCTATGGATAGAATATTATTAAGGACACTTTGGAACACTCTCCACAATACAGGGCGGACCGCTCATGTGGGCGGCAAATGAAATAGTCAGTGAGTAAATAGAGTAGTTAGTAGAGTCGCAGTGAAAAATGGGTACCCCTTAAAACATTTAACGTAGATCGCCTCAAGCCTGTGAATATTGATGAAGTCGAAACAGATGGTCAGAAATGTAAATTCTGTGGGCCAGTTTGGAGGCTGATAGTTCCAAACCTAATTAGGAAGAGATAGAACATGAAGAAGCAAAGGAACGCCAACGGCTCTAGAAGTCCAAAGAAACTTTAAAAAAATCATCACAGATATGAGTATGTGAGGATACGAGGAATATAAGAACCTATCGGAAAAAAAGCGGATTCATGTGAGACGAAGAAATAAATGGACAAGTGATAAACTATCAATTCGAATGGAAGCTTTTAATGAAGAGATTCGAAGGTCGATTCCACCAGAAAGCAACGGCAGATTACTCTTGGCCAGCTGTCAATTGGCTTTACTGGAACATTCTTGTTGATGCTTTTTCCGAAGTAATCTCATTCGATTCCGGTGAAAACGTCTTACGCTTTCGTTCATCGTATAATGAACATCGTCAGAACAGAATATTATCCTTACAACAAAATTTAGGCTAAAGAGTCAAAAAAGCATATGTATAGAGGGAGCGATGGTGGTCATTAATTCTTGATTGCCGAGAACAGACGTTACTTTTGCTATCCTAATTACTCTGAGTCATCACTGCTGGTCTCGTACATATTCGAACATATATAAGCACATACACACACAGATATACTCACATGCTCCGAGGTTGACATATGACTGGAACTAACCAAATCATTTTATACCTATTCAAAAAACTCAGGTTTGTAGAGATTAGCAGGTGAATTTTCCTGACTTGTTAGCTTGAAATTAGTTTTAAGGATGATACCCTGCTCTGATGAAGTTTGTCAAACGACGAACAAAAGCTTAGCACGTTTTCATCGAAATCGAAGGAGATTGCAACGAAAACAGCGTAAACAAGAATGTTTCAGTCAAGTCAATCGACAGCTAGTCAAGAGGAATCCGCCGCCGTCTTCTAGTAGGATCGACCTTCGAATCTCTTCACTAAACACTTCCACTCGAAATGGAAGTAAGCTCAACAATTATGTAACTAGAGATTCCTCGGAACGCAACTTTTCTTCGCATATAAATTAGCAAGCATAGGCAAACAAAGAGGGATAGAGAAAGGTGCAGCCACTTATATTTTCACTTAAAAATTGCCTAGTTTTAGTCAGCATCATCGTAGCTTTAGAACGTATTTCTTTAAAGCATGATTCTTTATTTTTATATATATTTAGGCTACACAAACAAGAAGATTTCTATGAAATGTATTCACCCTATTTCGATTAAAATGAGGAAGAACTGGTAGTAAAGTTTTCCCACAATGATATGAGTAGGGTGAATACATCTCATATAGCTGATTTACTAGTAGTCTCGAAATTTTGCTCATATACCAAAAATATAATGATCTCTTATATCTAGGAGACAGAAAATAGTTTAAAGAATTTTATAATCTCGACCATAAGGAGATAGACGAGAAGCAATTGGCTTCAGGAATAAGCCATATTGCTGCCAAAG